TCCGTAATCGCGAAAATGGGCGCAAGCCGACTCACACCGCGCTGCTGTGGCCGCTCGGTAGATTAAGGACAACAAAAACAGCGCACTTTTCCATCAACATCGATCTTTTTTAGGTCTCGGCTGCGAGTAGCTTCACTACACGGGGTTATAACTGTAACTGAGGTGGCACGGGCCGCCGGGCTCGGCGTAGTTTTCTCATCGTTGGAGGGAGAAACGCACGGAAGATGGCGGCTCGTCCGTCTCCCTCAGCTTTGGCTCCAGCAGTTCGCAGTCAGAGCGCCCAAGTGAGCGAGAAGGCAGAGCCGCGCGGAGCCCGCGCGCGCTTCCCGCCACGGCCGTGTGAGGGCGCTGCGGCGGCCGCGCGCTGCGTCGAGGGACCACTGGGGGTCGCTCATTCACACTTCTCACATATCCTACCCAGGGTTCTTTAATAAAGGCAGTGGTTCCGTTTAGAACCTCTTCAGATTGATGGAGAATGTGTTCCGTTCGAAAATGGTTCTGTATAGCACCGAAAAGGGTTCTTCTACCGTAACAAGCCTGACATCATAACAATAGGAGAACCTTTTTCAAAAAGGTCCTATGTAGAACCGTCTACAGCACATCTGCCGTCAGTCTGAAGAACCTTGTCATGATGCAAAGAAACCCTTTAATCGTGCAAAGGGTTCCTTGAGTGATATATCTATATAGAACCATCTTCTTTACTAAAGAACCCTTGAAGTACCATCATTTTCACAAAGGTTCCATATGAACCATATACAGCACATTGTCCATCAGTCTGAAGAACCGTTTTCATACCATGCAAGGAACCACTTAAGCTTGGAATGGTTCGATATAGGACACATGGTTCTAAACAGAACCATTCCCTCCACTGAAGAACCATTGAAGAACAACATAAAACATTTTGGTGCTATATAGAGCCATTTTCAAGAAGGTTCTGCCTAGAATTACATACAACACTGTACACATATACATCAATCTGAAGAACCAATTCACCATGCGAAGAACCCCTACTAAAGAACCCTTGAAGAATCATCTTTATAAAAAATGTAACAATAAGAAGAATACTTTTTGGTGTTATATAGAACCCTTTTGAAAAAAGTTATATATAGAACCATCTACAGCACATTCTCCATCAATCTGAATAACCTTTTGACAATGCAAAGAACCCTTTAATCATATAAAGGGTTCTTAGAGTGTTCATGATTCCATATAGAACCATTTTCCTTACTAAAGAACCCTTGAAGAACCATCATTTTCAAAAAGGTTCTGTATTGAACCATATACAACACATTCTCCATCAATCTGAAGAACCCTTTACCACACAAAGAACCACTTAAGCATGAACTGGTTTAATATAGAACTCTACTAGAACCCCTACTAAAGAATCCTTGAAGAATCATTTTTATAAAGAGTGTAACAATAAGAAGAACCCTTTTTGGTGCTGTATAGAACCATTTTCAAAAAGAGCACATTCTCCATCAATCTGAGGAACCATTTCATCATGCAAAGAACCATTTAAGCATAAACTGGTTTTATTTAGAACTTATGGTTCCAACCAGAGCCATTCCATCTATTACAGAACCCTTGAAGCCCCCCAACATGGATCAAGGCCACAAATGTTCTTGCATTTCAGTAATGACCAAGAACGAGTGCAGCATCTTTAATTCTTCACCGCATTTCTTTATTTTACAATTTGTTCTTCAAGGGTTCTTTAGTAAAGAAAATGGTTCTATATAGCACCAAAAAGGGTTCTCCTATTTTTACGATTCCAAACTTGTTACAATAGCAGACCTACATCACGTTCTCCATCGATCTGAAGAACCCAGTCATGATGCAAAGAACCCTTTAATCATGCAAAGAGAACTTTGAGTGTTTATGGTTCTATATAGAACCATTTTCTTTACTAAAGAACCATCGATTTTAAGTATGTAGAACCAACCATTTTAACAAAGGTTCTATATTGAACCATATACAACACATTCTCGATCAATCTGGAGAACAATTTCACCATGCAAAGAACCAGTTAAGCATGAAATGGTTTAATATAGAACTCATGGTTCTGAACAGAACAATTCTCTCTACTAAAGAACCATTGAAGAACCACATTTTTTACGAGTGTAACAATAGAAAAAACCCTTTTTGGTGCTATGTAGAACCATTTCCACAAAGGTTCTACATAGAACTATATACAACACTACAACATACACATCAATCTGAAGAACCATTTCACCATGCAAAGAACCCCTACTACAGAACCCTTGCTGAATCGTCTTTATAAAGAGTGTAACAATAAGAAGAACCCTTTTTGGTGCTATGTAGAACCATTTTCAAAAATAACATGTTCTCCATCAATCTGAAGAACCGTAAAAACCTTTTAACCAAGAAAATGGTTCTATACAGCACCAAAAAGGGTTCAGATCGATGGAGAACGTGATGTAGGTCTGCTATCGTAACAAGCTTAGAATCGTAACAATAGCAGACCTACATCACGTTCTCCATCAATCTGAAGAACCCTGTCATGATCAAAGAACCCTTAAATCATGCAAAGAGAACTTTGAGTGTTTATGGTTCTGTATAGAACCATTTTCTTTACTTAAGAACCCCTGAAGAGGAATGTGGGAATCTAGTGCATTTTCTTAAGGCTTTTTTTTGTAGAAGCCTCATTTGTCCTTACTCCAGTTTAATCACAACTTAAACCACATGTAATGCAGAATGTGTTACCATGGAGACTGGGTGGGCGGACCCTGCTGCTTCTCCACTTTCCATTGGCTGAACAGGCCGTAGGCCGGACTTGGGGGCGTGTTCAACACCACTTTGGCTAACCCTTGAAATCCAGGCTTATTACATACTGAGGCTTACTAACTAACTGTGTAAAGAACAGTGTGCATTTCTCCCTAGAAACACAGTAGATATAGAAATCTGAGCCAAAACACTGTGCAGTCCTGACTTTGTTGTTCCGCTTCAGCTGTTCTGACCTCTGAATTGGCAGCTCTTCTCATAGCAGAATATAACTGAATATCCTAAATGGAGGGAATGCTAATCATAGCAGGGTTTAACCCCTTAAAGTCCCGGGCTGATTACATACTAAGGCTTATTATTCAGTAACTACAGGGATTTTAGTGCAAACTGGCTGAGCTATTCTTAGGTTATAGTGTGGGTACCAGTTTAAAACAAGATTACCCTTATAAAGTGTTCATGAATGGTTGAAAATTAGTTTATTAGTGATTATAAATTAGGTCATTAAGACCTAAGAGCAGTTAAAACACATAAATAAAAGGGGCAACAGTGACCTGTTTGCCTAATGGTTAACCCACATTCATTTATACTGTTAAACCCCAGATTTTTATGTTTACTGATCTTATTTTGCTTTATGTCTTATAACTGCTTATTAATGGTATTTAAAGTGTGTATGACCTAATTAATAACCATTAACAAACTAATATTAAATCATGTATAAATGCTTTATAAGGGTAATCTTATTCTAAAGTGGTACTGAAGGATGTAATTGAATGCGCCCTGGCCATTTAAGGGGTTAAACACAAATCTATTACCATGTAGTCCCCCCTGACTACAAATAAACACATGAAAGAGAGACTGCATGATACACAGTCAGTCCCAGGGACTGTATTTCTGTCTATACTTCTGTGATTTTACTGTTTGTGGTAGACAAGTTAGCCAGCTTGTAACAACTGTGTTAGCTCCTTGGCTAACTGCAGCTGCACACCACCAACTACAGCAGTTATCTACACTTTTTTTGTTCCAGAACAGTCTTTACTATACTGTAGAGAGTACAACTGTTCTATGTAATTGTGTTCACTTTTGTGTTTTTACTGTTTAATGTAGGCAAGTTAGCTTGCTTGCTAATGGTTGTTTTAGCCACACAGTCACCCCACTGCCACCAACCGTGTCAGATATCTACATTTTTTTTGTCACAGATCAATGAGCTGCCGCTATTCTCCTTTGAGCATAATTATCTGATATAATTCTGGTCATTTTCATGTTGTTGTGTTTATGGCTAGTGAGCTAGCTAGCTCTCTAACAACCCCAACAAGAAGGATTTTTTGTCGGCAATCTTCTGGACCAGCCTCCATCAGAGAACTTCTGGGTTTCTCAAACGCTAGAGGGCGCTCCCGAGCAAGTCCAAAATGAATGAGTTTTTGGTTCTGGTTCAGTGATTAGAAACTATTTAAACTTTTCATTTTTAGCCGTTTAGCACCATTCACCGCCATTCATTGAGGACTCACTCGTGGGCGCCCTCTGCTGTTTTGCAGTCCTGTTTTTAATATAACAAGGAAAATAAGAAGTGGCCAGACTGCTCATAAACCTGCCTTGATCACAACCATTTCGCAAGTTAACACAAACTGCAAATGTGTACTGTGAGTGTGGCTTTAGACTCTCCCACTGGGTGAAAAAGTGACTCAAACAGGCCGAACAAAATGTCACCTCCAACTCCGAAGAGCCACACAATAAAGAGAGACTGTAGGTGTTTTATCTTCTACGGGAGCCGAGAGCCTTTGGGCTTCACTCAGCGCACAAACACCAGCAGCCTGTCTCAATCTGACAGCTCATAAAGTTTATGTCAGGACACGTTAAGCCTGCGTGTCGTCCTCGGTGAAATCCCCAGCGCAGCGTACACGCCACGTCTGTCATTGTGTTGGGGGGGGCAGGCAGCAGGGCGGTTACACTGACTGTCCTGAAGCATTTCTTCCAGCTCACACACTTCATACACACACACCGGCGCTCTGTATGTGTCCTGCACACACAGCGCTGTCTGCATATGCCACCTGACACCCTGTAACAGACTCGTTCGTCCAGCTGACAAACTTCATCTGCTCACTCAGTCTCCTCTGCGGTGCTTGGGCCCCTGCAATTGCAATTCACATCTCTCTCTCTCTCTCTCTCTCTCTCTCTCTCGCTCTCTCTCTCTCTCTCTCGCTCTTTCTCTCTCTCCTCCCTTTTCCCCTCCCACTCTCTGGACTCTCCTCCTATATATTGTAACCCCTCTCGTATTTTTTTCTTCAAGGACTTTTTTCCCAGAGCAACATCTCTTTTTCATATACACACACAAACTCTCGTCATGCCAGAGTCCGCAGACGTTCCTGCCCAGTGCCAGGTGCTCAAAGAGGAAGTGGACAAATGGTGAGGTCCAGATCCATACAAACAATAACATTTAATTATTTACTATGTTTCCATGCTTAATACATGCAGTTATTTAATAATTTTAAATGCTTATTAAATGCAGTTATTTACTACTTTCATATGCTTATTAAACGCAGTTACTTACTACTTTTAATGCTTTTTAAATGCAGTTACTTATTACTTTTATATGCTTATTAAATGCAGTTATTTACTACTTTTAAATGCTCACCAAATTTAGTTATTTATTCCTTTTAAATGCTTATTAAATGCTGTTACTGCTTTTAAATGCTGTTACTTACTACTTTCATATACTTATTAAATGCAGTTACTTATTACTTTTAAATGCTTATTAAATGCAGTTACCTACTACTTTTATATGCTCACCAAATTTAGTTATTTATTCCTTTTAAATGCTTATTAAATGCTGTTACTTACTACTTTTAAATGCTGTTACCTACTACTTTTATATGCTTATTAAATGCAGTTACTTATTACTTTTAAATGCTTAGCAAATTCAGTTATTTACTACTTTTAAATGTGCATTCAATTCAATTACTTACCACATTTAAATACTTACATGTCATAACTTACTAATTGTGAATGCTTATTAAATTCCATTATTTAAGACTTTTAAATGCTTGTTAAATTTAATTACTACTTTTGAATGCTTACTCAATTTAGGTACTTACTACTTTAAATGCTAATTAAATTCAGTTGCTTTTTATTTTTAAATCCCCTTTAAATCCAATTATTTACTACTTTTAAATGCTCAATGTTTACTAAATTCAATTACTTTGAATCAAATTGCTCATGACATCAAATTGTGACTATTAAATGCTCATTAAATGTATTTAATACATTGAAGGGGAATTCCACTGATTTTGCATTATTCAATTTAAGAAATATGTTTAAGGCCAAAACTTTCTCAAAACTAAAACTGTGTCTCAGTCATCAGACATGTATTTATAACCATTTCATGTAGTAACTCTCTGTGAGGGAGCTTTTAGAGGCGGACATCTGGTTCCTATCACCACCACTGTGAACAATTCTGACTCTGTAAGTTTCTCTAGAACAGAGCATTTCACACCAAACCACTCTGACTCTCTTTACACCTAAACCATTTCATAATGCAGATGAATTTGAGGACTAAGTGGAATTTCCCTTTAAATTCAAGTTAAATTCAACATTCTCATAACGCAGAATTATGTGATTTCTATGCATCCAGCTGTTACTGAGATTCTTGGACAACCACATAACACGCATGACTGGATCTTTGTGGTCTGAGAATAATAGTAATATGATTGTGATGTTTTGATATATATATATTTTTTAATTTTATTTTTATTAATAACATACACAATTATGGTTCTTCAAGGATAATTTAATTAAGACAGAACCATGAACACTCAAAGAACCCTTTGCATGATTAAAGGGTTCTTTGCATCATGAAAGGGTTCTCTGAGTGTTCACGGTACCTTATAGAACCATTTTCTTTACTAAAAAACCTTGAAGAACCGTAATTTTTAAGTAAAGAAAATGGTTTTACAAAAAAACAGTGAACACTCAAAGAACCTTTTTCATGATTAAAAGGTTCTTTGCATCAAAAAAGATGGAGAATGTGCTGTAGATGGTCCTATATTGAACAAAATGTAAATGTTTTTCTACGTTTGGTTGACACATATTGCTGGATCAGATATGTGTTATCTTACATTACACCACTCTGCAAAGCCTCTGCTGCTTCAAGCACTGGCCGGCATGTGAGATTAAATCTCAGAGGGGTTGAATATTAACTGAGTTTGAGTGTTAAGATGACCTAGTGAAGGGCGTAAGGCAGTCAGTATATGGGGGTGGGGGTGGGGGGAGAGGGGCATATATGGAGAAGTGATGATGCAGGCGGAAATTTAGCCATGTGTTGCTGTGTTAAAGCATGTTCTGCTGCTATGTTAAAACACGTCGCTCACGTTTCAGTTGTACGTCTTCATTCCTGTGACTTCGGGTATTCAGTGACGCCACTAGTGAGAGTGAAACTAATACGATTGTGATGTTTTAATGTGTTTTTATAATTGTAAGTACATTTATCTAGAGCAGAATGTTAGTTTCTACCTTGTCCCTTGCACTCTTCAAAAAGGTGGTTCTTCTAGGGTTCTTTAGTGAAGAAAATGGTTCTGTATAGAACTGTGAACACCCAAACAACCCTTTGCATCATGAAAGTGTCCTTCAGATTAATGGAGAACGTGCTGTCGATTGTTAGAAGCACCCTTTTGGGTGCTGTATGGAACCCTTTTCAAAAAAGGTTCTATATAGAACCATCCTTTGCCAGTAAGTACCTTCATCTGAAGCAGAATGTTTGTTCCTACGTTTTGGTGTATAATATGTGCCCTTTGCTTACACTCTTCAAAAAGATGGTTCTTCAAGGTTCTTTAGTAAAGAAAATGGTTCCATAAAGAACCATGAAATACTCAAAGAATGCTTTGCATGATGAAAGGGTTCTTTGCATCATGAAAGGGTTCTTCAGATTAATGGAGAATGTGCTGTAGATGGTTCTATATAGAACCTTTTTGAAAAGTGTTCTCTATTGTTACAAGCTTCACATCATAACAATAGAAGCACCTTTTTGAGTGCTGTAGAGAACCCTTTTCAAAAAGGTTCTATATAGAACCATCTTTAGCAAGTAAGTACCTTTATCTGAAGCAGAATGTTTGTTCCTCTGTTTTGGTGTCTACTACGTGCCCTTTGCTGACACTCGCAAAAAGCATTTCATGCTTAAATGGTTCTCTGCATGGTGGAACGGTTCTTCAGATTGATGGAGAATGTGCTATAGATGGTCCTATATAGAACCTTTTTGAAAAGTGTTTTATATAGCACCCAAAAGGGTTCTTCTACTGTTACAAGCTTAACATGATAACAATAGAAGCGCTCTTTTGGGTGCTACACAGAACCCTTTTCAAAAAGGTCCTGTATATAGAGCCATCTACAACACACTCTGAAGAACCCTTTTATGATGCAAAGATCCCTTTAATCATACAAAGGGTTCTTTGAGTGTTCATGGTTCCTTAAAGAACCATTTTCTTCACTAAAGAACTCTTGAAGAACCACCTTTTTAAGCACATAGTTTTAAATTATACATTTAAAATTACGGTTCTTCAAGGGTTCTTTAGTAAAGGTTTTATAAGGAACCATAAACAATCATCATGAATTGCATCATGAAAGGCTTCTTTAGATTGATGCAGAACGTGCTGTAGAACCTTTTGAAAAGGGTTCTGTTTAGCACCCAAAAGGGTTCTTCTATTGTAACAAACTTAACATTGTGACAATACAAGCACTGTTTTGGGTGCTATACAGAACCCTTTTCAAAAAGGATCTATACAGAACCATCTACAGCACATTCTGAAGAGCTCTTACGTGATGCAAAGAACCTTTTAATCATGCAAAGCGTTCTTTGAGTGTTCATGGTTCCTTATAGAACCATTTTCTTCACTAAAGAACCCTTGAAGAACAATTTTTAAGACTATAGGCCAAAGGTCATGCCATAAAAACAGCCGTGCAGAAAGCTTCAACACAGACAGTCTGCTGAAGAGGACTGATGGTACTTTTAGGGTAATTTAATAAGAAAAATGGTTCTATAAGCAACCATGAACACTCAAAGAACCCTTTGCATGATTAAAGGGTTCTTTGCATCGCCAAAGGGTTCTTCAGATTGCTGAGAATGTGCTGTAGATGGTTCTATATAGAACCTTTTTGAAAAGGGTTCTATATGGCACCAAAAAGGGTTCTTCTGCTATTACAAGCTTGACATTGAAACAACAGCAAAACCCTTTTCAAAAAGGTTCTATATAGAACCATCTACAGAATATTCTCAGCGATCTAAGGAACCCTTTTACAATGCAAAGACCCTTTGAGGAACCACCTTTTTTAAGAGTGTAGCATCATGCTGTGAGCATTCATGAGGCCCATCAAATGCACCAGTTGACCCATTATCAGTTTATATCCCTGATATTTGCAGCCTTAAAGGAATGTTCTAGATATTATCAACATAATCTCTGTCTGCTACAACCTCAGCGTACAGTCGATTACCATGGACAGTAATTCTGATAGGCCCCCCTGCAATTAGAATAGAACAGAAAACCCATGAACTCGAAACATATTTCTAATAGAGGCCAATAAGCAGATGCTGAAGCAACAGCAGGATGAAAAACGCTGGAGTTTTCCTTTAAAGGTCCAGCGAGAGGGACGTCTTTATCAGGCAGTAATCGTCTGCGTTCATTTAATGATTACTGTTGTGGTCATTTAATGATTGCAGTCATTTAATGAAATGCAGCAACCATTTAATGATTGCAGCCGAGTCACTGCAAAGCTTGTCACTTCAGCACCATCACTAAATAAATACACCGATCAGGCATAACATTCGGACCACATCCTTGTTTCTACGCTCATTGTCCATTTTATCAGCTCCACTTACTATATAGGTGCACTTTGTAGTTCTACAGTTACAGACTGTAGTCCATCTGTTTCTCTGATACTTTGTTAGCCCCCTTTTACCCTGTTCTTCAGTGGTCAGGACCCCCATGGACCCTCACAGAGCAGGTACTATTTGGGTGGTGGATCATTCTCAGCACTGCAGTGACACTGATGTGGTGGTGGTGTGTTAGTGTGTGTTGCGCTGGTCTGAGTGGATCAGACACAGCAGTGCTGCTGGAGTTTTAAACACCTCAGTGTCACTGCTGGACTGAGAATAGTCCACCAACCAAAAATATCCAGCCAACAGCGTCCTGTGGGCAGCGTCCTGTGACCACTGATGAAGGACTAGAGGATGACCAACACAAACTGTGCAGCAGCAGATGAGCTATCGTCTCTGACTTTACATCTACAAGGTGGACTGACAAGGTAGGGGTGTCTAATAGAGTGGACAGTGAGTGGACACAGTGTTTAAAAACTCCAGCAGCACTGCTGTGTCTGATCCACTCGTACCAGCACAACACACACTAACACCACCACCACCA